ATATATATATATATATATATATATATATATATATATATATATATATATATATATACATTTTAGCCTGGTTTGTAAATTCTATGCGTTTATTTTGTCCATTATGTTTATTTGATACATCAAACTAGAAATCTAGAAAATTAAATAATATTTACACGCATGAAATTACTTGAATACATTATGTAGTCTAAACAATGTTATTTACAGCTTAAGACATACCTGGACCCATACATTAAAAGAATGGCGTATACACATTTGACCTATACGTATTTTGGAGTTGATATGCTAAGGTAAGAATTAATGGTGTTATATTAATTTATTATAAAATCACATACACTTGCATTTTTTTCCGCAGAAACCTAATCGTGAGCTATAATGTTATCGTCAACTCACTGGCCTCTGCAAAAACCTATCTGCATCGGACCGTGACTAGTGTGTTTATTAAGCAGCATATGCCCGGCATTGTCCGAGTATGGGAGATATATTATTTTTCCAATTAAATGTCTATTTGCTAAACTTAGCTCTAAACATAACGCTAACAAGAACCAAACAAACCCAAAACATAAACACGATGGAAAACTTGACGCTAACACAAACGCAAGCACAAACACAAATGCAAACACAATCGAAAACATAAAAGCAATCAATAACGCAAAGAAAGCGGCTTCTAAACTGCTATTGATCAAAAATATTAATTAGTAAACAGTATTTCAATAGTATAAAAATAATAAAAGGTAGTATTTAAAATACTGTGTTTTACCTAACATATTGCATTTTATCAAACCATACCAATAAGATTTTTTCCAACATAAAAAAAAAAACTTTAAAGGTTTGTTTTTTCTGCTTTTTTTATTTTTCTGTAAGTCATCTTTCAATGTAAGTAATGAGTAGACCTATAAATTGACATCATTTGCATATTTTTTTGTAAAGGGTTTAAGTTTAATTTAATTTTTCTCCTGGCCTATTACATCTTTCAAAATGATATGTTATAAATAAACATTAGTCTGAAAGTGATCAATATTAAGTTTTCACATATAAATTAAGATTTTAATACAACCAATAAACACTTTGAAAATATAACACAACGGTAATCAAGTCAAGTTTCGGTATATGCATGTCATCCACGAATCCGCCCCATACTGGGTCACAGTGTCCATTGTAACTTCATGTATTAAATATATATATATATATATATATATATATATATATATATATATATATATATATATATATATATATATATATATATATATACATATGTATATCTGTATGTATGAATATATATATATACATATACATATACGTATATATATATATATATATATATATATATATATATATATATATATATACTTTTTAACACTTAAATACCAGATCAAGTACAAACTTCACCATCGTAGAGTTTGAAATATACCTTTTTGATTCTGTACACGAATACGACAATGTGTTTGATGCTGAAATCCGGTTGGTAATAGCCAAGGCCTTGATCAACATGAGAGTAATAGATTCAAATTACAAAGTCGTATTAGCACAGTTAGAAAATGTCACGAATAATATGCGTGAGTAGTCGATTATATATTATTTTGTTTTGATTCTTTGTATTTATACTTTGATATAAATCATTGTCCAATATATATATATATATATATATATTTAATTTACTTATATTATTGTCATGTATGACTCTGATAATGTGCAAACATATATACTATTGACCTACATAATTGACCTGATAATTAGAATTCGTTTTTCTTCTACATACAGTTTAATGAGAATTATTATTAAATTATCATTGAATTTTTAGGTAAATATAAGGTAAATGCTACAAAACTAATCCACAAGGTTCTATATATTTATTTTGCAGAAGCAGTTAACTGCATAACATGTGAGACGTACGAAATATGTGAGCCAGTAAACGGCAACATGATTGAATGGCACTGCAAGTGGGTAATTTTCTTTAGCAAAACATAACACAATAGACATAAATGTTTTTTTCAAACTATTTTGGATTGGTAATGTGATGAATTTACTATAACATTTTGCTAGTTAAGCGCACAAGTGTAGTAATTGGCCTACTTGTACACGGGATATAATATATTTGCTTACATATGTTTTGCCGAATCTGATCGCAATCAAACTTAGCCCAATTTCATACGTCTTGAAATAATGCAACACCAATCTCCCCCTCCCCTCAAAGAGAAAGGTATCACTATCATGTTATTATGCTAGCTATGGACACTCATAATTAGCAATTGAAAAAAAAAGTCCTTGATATTGAGTTTTTTTTTAATTTATGTTCCGGGAAAAATCTGTTTATAATTTTCAGAAAACAATTATTTTTCTACAGTTTACCTTAGGTATATTAACAAATCTTGAAAAAAATTAACCGTTCGTAGGATACAAACAGTTTATAAAGTATGATAAAGTATGATATTTAAACTTTTTAAAATTTTGGGTCCGGTGATAACATTAAATTTTATTATTTTCACACACCGTTATTTAC